CGGCTCGGGACTGGGCTGGCACCGAATGTTCAGGCCCGCAGCTAAGAGCTGCGTGGTTAAATGTTCACCTTCGGGAGTCTCCGGTGTTCCCACAGCAAATATTTCATCTGTCAGGGCAAAAACTCATCGTGTTTTTCCATTTCTTCTGTAGGTGCAGGTAGCTGCCTGGAAACTCTAGAAAAAGGAAAACCACTAGTCATAGTAATAAATGAAAAGCTGATGAACAACCATCAGCTTGAACTGGCAAAACAACTCCACAGAGATGGGCACGTCCTCTACTGTAATTGCAGGTATGGAGCTGCTGCAGCTGTCCAGACTGATCAGTGTTCAGCACCATCACTCAGTGTGTTATTACAGTATTGAGAATGTAACAAGGAAATTTACATTCTTCTCAGTAACAACCACTGGTTTGCAAGGTGTATTTTCTATAGTGGATAGGTTAACATTAGGTGCCAATTTACCAAATGTACCAAGCCTTTTGACCATGCCTCCTTTTAAATCCTCTTCTTTTTTTTTTTTTTTTTTTCCGGAGGGCACATGTACTCAGATTCAAAGAAGAGTGATTTAAACCAAATAAAAGTGGTTGAATTTGAAACAGTCGGGTAGCATCCTAGAGGCACCTAAGAGCTTTTCTCTTTCTCACTAGTTGTTGGATTCTTTTTTACAGTCTAGAAATAATACAACCCAGACCACCAGTTTGTAACCATGAGCCATAAGGAATAAATTGCTCCCTGCAGATTCAGGACTCCAATTTCATCATTTTGCGATACGGATTTTCCTTCTAAAGGGCACTAAAATTGACTGTACAGATGTAGTGACATAATAAAATTGAAAGTGTCTGCAGTATTTAGAACAATACATAAGAATGGCCTTACTGATACAGATCAGGAGTCCACGTAGCTCAGTATCCTATTTGCAGTGGCCATATGCAAATGCCCAGCCAAAAGTAGACATAGGGTGAGAACATAGACTCATAGAATGGTTAAGGTTGGAAGGGACCTTAAAGATCATGTAGTTCCAACCACCTACCATGGGCAGGGACACCAGAGCAGGTTGCTCAAAGCCCTGTCTAACCTGGCCTTGAACACCTCCAGGGATGGGGCAGCCACAGCTTCTCTGGGCAACCTGTTACAGTGTCTCACCACCCTCACAGGAAAGAATTTCTTCCTAATACCTAATCTAAATTGACCCCTTTTCAGTTTAAAACCATTACCCCTCAGCCTATCGCTACACTCCCTGATCAAGAGTCCTTCTCCACCTTTTCTGTACGCCCCCTGTAAGTACTAAGACTGCTATAAGGTCTCCTCGGAGCCTTCTCTTCTCTAGGCTGATCAACCCCAACTCTCTCAGCCTGTCCTCATAGGAGAGCTGCTCCACGCCTCTGATCATCTTCATGGCCCTCTTCTAGACTTGCTACAACAGATCAATGTCCTTCTTATGTTGGGGGCTCCAGAGCTGGATGCAGCACTGCAGGTGGGGTCTCATGAGAGTAGAGGGGCAGAATCACCTCCCTCGACCTGCAGGCCACACTGCTTTTGATGCAGCCCATCATATGACATATGGTACTTTCTTGTATTACTTTCCTTCCCATGCTCGTAAATACTTTGATTCGGGGGGATTCCTAAATCAGATGCTGTCTGGTTAGTAACTTTCAGTACCTCTATGGTCCAAGTACTTATTCAGGCTGCCCTTTTAACCAAACCTTCCGAATCCACCGTGTTCTCTGACAAGGAGTTTCACAGATCTATTGCCTGTCAGTTCAGGAAAAAAACAACCAAACAACCAACCACCAAAAAAACCAGCAAACAACCAACATCCCCCAAAAAAACATACCAACAAAAAACCCCAGCTCCTTTTGTTTGTTTGTGTTCATCTTGGCTCCTGTTAGTTTCACTTCCTCTCTTGTTTTGACTATATCTTACTGGGTTTATTTCTGATTGATTGCACTCTAGAAATAACATGACCTCTAAATTGAAGGCAGAGGAAATGCAACTCCCGTTATTTAGTCTGCATCTTGTTCCTTTGCCCTGCAAATAGGATTTCGTATGTTTCGGAAGATCTTTCTGAAAAGACTAGGCCTGTTATTCGTTTACATTGGGCAAGTTTCTTAAATTTATCTCAGTGCTACAGCTTTGGAGAAAGGAAGGCATTTTTATTTATTTTTGTTGAACAATTCCCAGCATTTGAGCCTCATTTGCAGTCCGATAATAGCAAGCTAACAGATTAATTTAGCTGTTCTTTCTGGCTATGTGTTGAGAACCTATGCCAGGTGTTCAGATAGGATGAATTTCCTAGTTGGTTCATGGTGAAGATCCTCAGATGTTGTTCAGGCTCCCAACATCGCAGCCCCAGAAGATTAAGAAGTTAGAGCTGCGGTTGTCTGTGAAAGCTCTGATGTAGGCTGAAGTGTGTTCTCAGCAGTGCTGCCTATGAGCCAGTGAAGGTTGGGGCCTGCTGGTTTGTGGGGTCTCTTCTTCCTTTCCATACGTGTCCTGATTTTTCTTTCAGTGCTAAAGGATTATGTATGTATGAATAGAAAGAAGACTGTGTGAAGAAAAAAATTTCCTTTGGGATGGATTTTTTTTTTTTTTTAAATTTTTGATTCTGTCTGTTTTTACAGCACTCTTGTGGAGACACTGCAGTCGATGGACTTGTCAACTTTGAAACCATTCCCTCCTGGTCAGCCAGAAAAGTTTGCTTTGTTCTTGGATAAAGTTGTTGGGTTTCAATAAACAATACAGAGGAATAAAAATATCAGAATAAAGACTTTCTCCTCCCCTAGTAAGGCCTTCCATACTTAAGAGTCCACCAACTGGGACAAACCTTCAAAGAAAATGTGTGTTAATATTAACTGACATTAAACGGTTTCCTATTTAGTGCCAATTTAAAGTCATCTAGCTTTATGCTTAAAAGAGCACAGTGCCAAGAAGGGGGGGGGGGGGGGGGG